TAGTTCATTAAGAGAAATAAGCCGACCTCTAGCAACAAATCACACAATTCTGGATCATTGTGCATGGTTTAAAGGCTTCATTTTTGCTTGTTGTCAATGATTATTGTAATGAAGTATTTTGAGAAGCTTCAGATACCGCTTTGTAGAGCTGGTTTCAATCTGAATTTACAGTATGAAGCAAATAAAGAATCTATCTTCATTACTGTAGGAGCACGTTAGGAACTTGCAGCATATGCGCTACTATGAAAAAGCCGTTTGGAAAGATTTTTTAAAGTATTCGGGAGAATTGTATAACAAGGTTTGTATGCATGTTGATTTTAAACACAAATTTTGCGCTTTTGTAGATATTTTCAAATGGCCTAATTAGATTTTTGACGAATATCAAAAAATAGCTGACGTTCCCGGTCTTGCCCGGCCATCTTTTTGAATGTTTAATACCTACAGCGGCATACACAGTTCTCAGTCTTTCTCGCTGCATGAAGAATCGTGTATTTGGAATACCACTTCAACTATTAAAATATCAAAAAGCCACACTCGAGCCACACTCGTTTTCTCTGATTTGGATTATTGGTTTCGATGCATGTTTATTTCGGCAGCAATGTGAAAAGCTGTTTGAAATAAATAAAAGTTTCTTTTAGGAGGATCCTTCAATATAGCGGCTTGTTTATCACGTCATCACAATGACAAAATCTTTTTTTCCTTGTTTGTTTAAGATCATTTACGACGGGTAGAAGATATTATGTCGCCGTAAGACAGCTTCTGCGCAGATATTTGCAATACACACCTCTTCACATCAAAGTTGTTTCTGCTGCTTTTGCAGGGGAGCCTATTAGCAACATAACGTCCTCTACGTGTGAGCAAAGTGAAGATTCGTAGGATTTCTTTTGAACGAAGATATGAATTTTTCACGATTTTTTGAGCCTTCAGTACGACGCAGATTTGGATGCAAACTTGCAGTTAAAGCGAAGATATGAATTTTCCACGATTTTTTGAGCCTTCAGTACGACGCAGATTTGGATGCAAACTTGCAGTTAAAGCTGCTGCGAAATTATGCAAACCATCCTGTAGAGCTTGCATTGCTCTATCTAATGATGTCCTGGACCCCTATTGAAAGTGTGGACTGTGCGACCTATCGCCGCAAGAAGTAAGAGTGTCCTAAAACTTATGATATATATAACCTCTGATTCAAAAAATTGCACACTACATCAAACATTCATATTTGTTCCTGGGTTTTTTCCTCAACCAAAAATCGAGAAAACGAAAATTTTCCTGTCTTCACAAAAACGGAGCTATACTGTTTTCACTCATGTAATTGTACCCTACAAGCTTTTATGAATACGACGTAAACTTTAGCTTTCTACAAACCCTAGTTTTGAGAAATATTGTTTTTGCATGGAACACCCGAGTGAAGAGAGCTAAATTCGGTAGTTTTCGAAAACTAAGGCCTGTGGAAACTGAAAATCTGCGGTTATACTTCAAGTGCTTGCAGTACGCAATTACATGAGTGAAACCAGCATAGCTCCGTTTTTGTGAAAACATGAACACAAAATTTTTGTTTTTTCGACTTCCAGATGAAGAAAAAATACAAGAACGGTACATGTGAGTATATGGTGTAGTGTACAATTTTTTGTGAACAAGTTGGAGATTTGTAAATTTTTTGAACGAAGATTTGAATTTTAGCGATTCTAGCATTTATTACAATTCAGAGTTTGAATGCAAACTTACAGTGGGTCGAAATTGGCGCTAACTTTTGCATACTCTCCTGCAGAGCTTGCTTTGCTCTACCGAATGGTATCCTGAACCCCTATTGAAAATGTGGACTGTATGACTTATCGCCGTAAAAAGCAAGAGTGTCTCAACACTTATGTTACAACCTAATATACAGGTGTCCCAAAAATGCGCCTACTGTCTGATTGTAAATAACTCCCTTGTATTGAAGTGTTTCGAGAAGCTTTAGGTATTGTTTTGTAGCAGAGATGCGATAGGTGGGGAAATTCTCTGACCCCTTCACTTTAGGGCCGGCATCTGGCTGATCCTTTTCACCTTAGGTTGATACTAAAATCAAGGCATAACGGGAGAATCAAACAGTTGATACAATAGCTTTTTGTTTGGAAAGGAAACTCCAGCTGCTCTTCTTCTCAGACATCAAGACTGCCAGAGGTTATCGAATCAACGGCGTTTTGTTGAAAGAACGCATGCTCTAGACCTTCTGCGCACTATGGCGTTGCCAACGAAACTCAATAGATCAAAAGGATGCCTGATTCTTTGTATAATCAACATTTTATCAATGAATACACACTGTCTCAAGAAAACGTTGAGCAAGAGTAGAATGGACTAGCTAATGATGGATGCATGTTTGCTGACAACAATCGTACCATTTCATAATCTCTTTTCACTAGAAATAAAAACGAATAAAAGAGCAATTAGATTAATCGTGTCTCAAGCTTTTGAATCATATATAAAAGTTCGAAAAAGACCTCTTCGTTTGAAAAGAAAATTGTCCAGAATTGGCTAATATTGTAGCTAGATAAAACTGCTCGTATCTCTCTTCACAGAAAAGCTAGGAAAAAAATGACGGTCTATGTCGATTCCTCGTGTTGTTAGCTATCGAACAATATATAAAGTGTTAGTGCACAAAGCTTTTTCAGTCCAAGAAAGTCTTGCTTCAGCGACCCATAGAAAGCCGAAGCGAGATGGAGCAAGTTAGTATTGAATATCTCCACCTCATATTGAAAAGCCACAAGTTTTTTTACCCAACAACCTATAAACCATTAGAAAGCCCCCAAAAAAGAAATTTGACGTAGAACGTTTGTTTTTTTTCGAGCTCCCCTCTACCCAAAGATACATGGCATTTTAGCTAAAAACATGTATGTTTTTCTCAAGAAATTCCTGCGTGAGAGATGAATAAAGGTGCCTGAATGTTCAACAGTATCACCGAGCAAGACCTTGCCAGTAAACCTAAACCGTCTCTTTTTTTCTATCCTTGTCCTTTCTTTCAAAAATGAAGCACAAAGTAATTAGACAAAATTGACTGGTGAGTAGGAGTATAAAATTGTTAGTATTTCGCTTCACGGAGAAGCTATGAAAAAAGGGACGGCCTATCTCGATTTCCCATGACCTCAGCTTTCGAATGGTATAAAGCATGTTAAAGCTTTTTTTGCTCTCCGGCTTTAAAAAGCACTCGCTCCGGTGACCGATAAAAGCCAATACATTGGGGAGTCGGGTGGAGCAAGCTAGTAGTAAACAACACCAGCCCATTTTTGAAAACTGGCAAATTTTTTCGCAGAGCAATCTATATACCATTCGAAAGCTTAGGAAAAGGGGATTCGACCTAGACCGTCGACTTCTTTTCAGCTCCCTCTACCGAGAGATACACCGTATTTTATCTGAAAACATGTCCATTTTCAACACCAGATTTCTGCCAAACGAAGATCTAATCACTGCTGATTATCTATCTGTGTTAAAGAGCAAGTCCTCATAAACAAACGTAGACCGTCGACCTTCTCGTAGCGCTCATCTGGAGAGCAGAAAGTGAGGACACAAAATCAGTTGATTTTTGAAGTACATAAAATTCCTCATATTTCGCGACACAGAAGACCTAGAAAGAAGTCGACTCTATACGATTTTAGTTTTCAATTGATATGTAACCTGTTGGGGCATTTTGCTTTTAGGGCTCACTTACCCCCTTTACCTTGCAAGGATGGGAGTAGCAAAGATCCCTTTCACCTGGAAAGGGCCCGGCTTCCCCTATCGCACCTATGTTTTGTAGAGCGAGGTTGAACTTGGATTTACAGTATGGAGCGAATCATCTATTGCTCTTTATTGTACGATTACGGTACGAACTTCGACAAGAATTTTAAGTCATCGGAGGTTATATTCTGCCTCGGAATAAACCAAACAAGCCAAAAACATACTACGGTAATAAGAGCCGCTAATTTCGGATTTGAAATTCCCATTTTACCGTGATGCTTCTTTCCAAAGTTATCCCCAGTAAATCGTAATAACTCAACTCCCAGCATTTTTCAGAAGTGTAACCACATCGTTAAAAAAGCTAAAAACACTCGTTAAAGCTGTTAGGTAGAATCAGCATGCGCGAAAACCCGAGTACACGATTTTTAGATTTTTTGAAAAAAATTTTGTTAGGTGTATTTAACGTTGGTTCCATATGCCGGAAGTTCTTTCCGCAATCATACAGTATTAAAGAGCGATCGATGATTCGCTCCATATTGTAAATCTAAGTTTATTTTCTCTCTACAATCCGGTACCTAAAGCTTCTCAAAACACTTCATTACAAGAGAGTTATTTACAATCAAACAGTAAATACATTTTTTGGACACCCTGTATCAGGTGAGTGCAAAAGTTCGTTCGCCAATTTCTTAAAAAGTCATAACTTTCTTTCTACCCAGTGAATTTGTTCCATTCATACTCATCCGAAAGAGGAAACGTTTGTTTTCAAAGCAGTACCTTTGCCATGAATTGGCATGAGAAAGTTTGAGGGCTAGAAGCAGTTGAAGGAAATTACTCAAGATTGGCATTTTTCGGGCAGGGTACAGAAAATCCTGGGAGTATTTTTTTCGATAAAGAAACTTTTGCTCATTACTGTAGTATCTTTTCCATAAATCAAAACAAAAAAGATCGAGAGATAGAAGCAACTAAAGAAAATTACTTTAGTTTTGCAATTTTTGAACATGCTCAAAAAAGCGTAAAAATGTCACAGCAGAGACCGAAACAATCAAAATAGGTTTTATAATTTCCTATTTCAAGATGAGCAAGTTTCGAGCTAGTTGGGAGCAATTTTGTTTTTCGTGATTTTTTCGGATTTTGGGTCTGCGTTTTTCACAAAAATTAAAATTGCTCTCGATTAGTTCGAAACTGCTTAGCTAGAAAAAAGAGGTTATAAAACCTATGTTTATGACTAATCCGGCTTCTGCTGCTCATAATTTCAGCTATTCGCGAAAGTTGATGAGTGAAAATGTAGCATTTACATAAAGTTTTTTTAGGATGGCAATGGTACACTGGACATGCTGGTAGCTGGAAATAGCTATGCTTGTAACCAAGGTGATCTTGTGTATAATGCATTCATACCGTACGCGAGGCACTTCAACATTTTTTGTGTGCCAAGTACGACTCAATAATACTTTCAAAGTCAGGATCCATATAGTCATTGCAGGTTGTGAAATGTTTTTGCCCCGGTGTAAATTTATAAAATTTAATTTCACACAAGTTGTGGAACAACTAAAGCCTGCTGTCATATTCCTTGTTGAAAGGTTAGCATACATTATAACGCCTGGGTTGCTTTCATTAATTTAGATCGCTTTCACTGAAAGTTCCGCTGAATGTAACAGAGCCTATTGAAAATGACAAAACCTTCCGCCTCTACTCGAAAACCATAGAAAATCTTGAAAATGTAACCAAGAAGGTAAAGAAAATTTTCAAAACGTTTGAAAAGTTCTGCCAATAAAGGATGGACCATTTTGTTTATTGATGAATTCATCAAGAATGTAATGAACGATAGTTTGGTCAAATATAGTGGCAATTTTAGACCTCTATTTCCGAGCGCCAAAGTCAAAAAGTATGTTCAGAAGGAGCCCTAGGTGCTGCGGCAAGTAATCATCAGATATCGCTATATTTAAGGAATGCAATACCGCTCATTTTTTGAAAAAACGACGCCTGTCATGTGACATCACTGTAGCGTGGCCATTCTCACTTCAGAGTGGACGAATTCATAATCCAAGGACACCATTCGACTGCGTGCGTATACTCAGTGTGCTTATTTGCACTCACTGGGCAACCTACCGTAAGCAAACGCCTGAAACAGTTTGTGGAATCTGGCCTCCTACTGTGTCCAAGCGGACATTTATGTAGCATAAAATGCCCCGCGACAAGCTGAGTTGGATGGTGTTCTTAGATTGAGATTCGCTTCACCCCTGAAGCCAAGTAAGGCCACGCTGCTGTGAGTCACATGATTCGAGTGACTTTGCATCGTTTTTTTAAAAAATGCGAGCGGTATTGTAGGTGGTTATCGATTGGCTGAAAAAGCTGTGCGAGTACTTGAGAATACAGAATTGCCTTTTCTCGTTTTTATCGAATGGTTTAAAATGTTTTTTTTTTTCAATTTATCATCTCTGGCTCATGCAAGTCTTCCGAGCCGATTAGCATGTTTGATAGCTGACACCATTCTCAAAAACACTCCATAAATCAGAGCTATTTTTTTTTCGCGTTTGGTTTTGGTCTTTAAAAAGTTTGGCAGAACTTTTCTAACAGTTTGAGAATTTCAATTCAATCAAAAAATAAAGATGATTTTCAGATATACATTGTACAGGCGTTCCCGAGCTGTGTAAACTCCTGCTCCAACATAGCTTTGCAGTACCTCAAAAATGGAAAAGCTTTACGCACAATCGAAGTGGGTCTTTAGATAGCTATCACGATTCGCTTATAACATCTTCGATGTATGTGCAGGGTCTAAAAAATACACTATGCTTGATAGCTTACAGCTTTCTTCTGTGATCTCTTTCGCCGAACTTTAGGTATAAATTTGTAAAGCTGGCTTCAGCGTAGATAGGGTCATCGATCGCTCTTTGTTACTGTAGGATTACGTTAGAAACATTAGGAAGAATTCTGGGCCAGAAAGGACTTCAAAGATGAAGGGAAACAAGTTAGAAACTATTAAACTAGGCTATTCGCTGATTTTAAACATGAAGTCCCTACTCCAAGCTTCCTTCATAAGTATCAGGTTGTTAAGAAAATATGTCGTTTTTTATTTGCTTGCCTCAGCAAAGTAACCAGGCTCAACCCGAAAAGGGATAAGAGATACTGTTTGATAGAGAAAAGCAAGCTCTATACTGGCGTTCATGAGTTTGAGCCATATTCGATACACGGGAATTTTGAACACAAAATATGAAAATTTCTAAATGCTCGGAAAATCGAAAAAATCGAATCTCCGTTTAAATGTTTTCTACATACTTTCTACTCACAACCGCATACGTCACTGCTTTCAATATCAGACACCCATCTGTGCAGTTGCTGTATTTTTTCCTTGACTAAAATTTAAGAAACCAAACATGCTCATGAATTTTAAACCAATGCTAAGCCGTTCTTGCACTTGTACTATGATACCACAACACCGCATTCTTGACGTGCAAAACTGTGAATGTCGCAAGTTCCAGGAATTGCGAAATTTCGGGAATCTCGCGGGATTTTCAAAATGCGACATTCACGGAAATTTTGCATGTATGTGAGCGGTATTGTAATTAGACGGTTTGTAGCTCATGTTTTTGAGAATATTCGCTTCAAACTGCACTGAAGGGACTGCAAAAAATAAACAGCGTTATATATGAAAAGAAAGGCAAGTGATGAAAAAGTTGTCGAATTGTGTGTAATTTTGTTAGCGAATACGAAAATACAATAGCTTTGGGAGATATCAATCAACAGATAAATGGACCCAAACCTCAATCTCTTAATGTCATCAATTTATTTAAAAATTTTTCGTAACTCTAGTTTGGAACAGTATGTTGCAGAACCAACACACCGCTCCCATATTCTTGACTCGTATTTTTGACTTCTCCTATTATCTCAGATGCACGCACTATGCCTCCTCTTGCAAATTCTGATCATCGTATAGTCGAATTTTCAGTCTGCATGAAATTGGCAGTCATGTTTCTCCGCCGACAATCGATTTCCGAAAAGTCGACTATACTTTTCTTAATAGATATCTCGAAACCATTGATTGAATGGTTGACTATTTTCAACCAGTATGAATCAGCAAATGTCGTTTACTACCGTTTTTGTGTGACTATATACGATGCGTTTGCAAAATTTGTGCCTTCTAAAATTCTTTAACAGCCCACCAAGGTTCCTTTTAGATACGGAAGCTTTTAGCTCAGAAAGAACGTTTATTCAACTCTCTGGTCAAGTATTTGACAAATTCGATTTATAAGAAAGCATGCAAAGATGTGAATCATTGCCTAAAAAGATTTTTGAAAACTTACGAATATAAGTTGGCTATGGAAGCTTCGTCGAAATCCTTTTTTCGATATTAATCAAAAATTGAAATCAAACCGTCATCTATCTGCCATTTCCGACCAAATTGGAGTACCTAAATACGGACATGGAAAAATCTATGCCTTAGCACGCTATTTCGCCGATGTGTTCTCTCATGATGATCAAACTGTGCCTTCGGAATTCCTAACAGTTCCCACTGTTCATCACTGTTTTTCTACTGTCTACTTCGATCCCTCTAAAATCCGGAGGATTCTAAACAGATTGAAAGCTTCCTTTACTGAAACGTACGACGTTATTTCGCAAATTATTGTTAAAAAATGTGCTTCATCCCTCTGCACTCCTCTTGCGCATATTTTCAACATATCATTGATGCTTGGAGAAGTGCCGCAGGTTTGGAAGGAGGCGTTGGTAACCGCGATCCCTGAAGTTTCTAACGCTAAACTCCTTTCGGACTTCCGGCCTATCAGCTTGGTACCTACTGCAGCAAAAGTAATGGAGAAAGTAGTGCGTGATAAGCTTTTGAACTGGTTTGCAAGATTCAATGTTATTCCCACGAATTAGACGGTCTCACGGCAGGATTGTCTACAATATCAAATCTCGCCGACTCCGTATTTATTGAAGTTTGGTTTCAAACAGAGGCAACTCCGTCGAGTCATTTACATGAATCTGTCTAAAGCATTCGTCTATCATATTTTTTGTCAAAATGTGAGAGTCTTAGTTTGCGTGAAAATCTTTTGAAATGCTTTTGAAATGTCTCTTGAGATGCATCGGGCGGCTTGTTTAGGCATTCCTATCAATTTTGAAAAAAAGTTCTTTTACGCATTTTGGAGCTTGAAAATCCAATCTATGAGATAAATGGAAGTAAACTGAGAAACGGTTCCACTGCCAAAGATTTGGGCGCTTTGATTGATTCCAATTTGAATTTTTCTGCTCATATTAATAATGTAGTAAATAAAGCTTGTTCGGTTTTATTTGCGACTTTTCGTAGCGTACATACCAATAACACAATGATCCTCAAACGTCTCTACTGAGCTTACGTTTTGCCACATTTGGAATATTGTTCCGTAATATGGAATCCTTTTTTTTGGAAAAAATATTTTGAAGCTGGAAAAAGTCCAACAAACTTTTACGCGTATTTTCTGAGTTGTCACAGAAAACTCAATTTTATCGATATGCCAAGCTATGAAAATTGCCTCAATTCCTTAGCAATGAAAAGTTTAGAACATAGACGACCATTTTTTGATCTCGTTTTTGGTTTTTTGGGTTCTGCATAAGGAATTAAGACTTGCCCCAAGTAAATATTGGATTTTCAAATCTACAAACGAAGCGGTGGAGTTGACATTCATTATTTATTTATTTACAGAAAGCGTTTTCGTCGGGTTTTTATAGTTTGTTTTGAAGAAATCCTCCGATGGCTTAGACTATTATCAAAAACTGCACCGCACCTCATTTACGAATGTACTTAAGCGTAAAATCAATGCAATTGACTATTCTCCTTATTGAGACAATCTGGGAATGAATAGGATTTCTCTTTTGCAGCAAGTGCTGACTTTTATAGTCTTTTAACCTTGAAATCTTTTTGAACGTTATGACTGTTGTACTAACCCATATCCTAGTTCGTCTCCGGCATTCACTTTTGCTTAGAAGCGGATCGTGCACATTATTCTTCCAAGCCATTGCATTTTACTGGACTTTTATTTGTTCTCTTGGGAGCGATGTAAGAGGAAGCTAAAAGAGGTTTACCGCCGAGCACGCATGGATTCGCCCATTCGCTTTAGTGCTTCCTCTTTAGACTCGCTTGAAAGTGATTCGCTTATGGCTATCTAAGTTGCTGTTTTTTGAGTTTAGATCTACTTTGGCTGCTGGAGACACCGTCTATGACTGCTGCTTTTTTCTGTTTCGCTTTTTTTGCACTAACCACGTTCGTCAGGAGCATCTATGAATGCACAAAAAAAGGGGACGTCTAAGCTGGCTCTTGGAAGAATAGAGCATCTTCCAATGACCTGATTTTATGCATTGGCATGAATGTTGGGAAATTAATGACTCTGCGAGTATTGTAGATATGGGATTGAAAAGAGAAGAGTAAAATAGGAGAGATCTCTGAATATATATTTTTTGATTATTAGTTGCTTCCGTAGAGCTTTACAATAAAATCGTCTACTTGACAGCCGGAAATGCGAGACTCGCTAATCAGAGTAGAGGGTGACGTCATGTCTCCGCGAGTAGAGATAATGGAAAAATGCTAGGTAGTCATCTATATGCAACTTTATGAGTTCTTTCTTTTTATAATAAAAGCTAGCTTTGAGCTCTTGGTAAACGGGGGTTTATAAGGTGCGCAAAGCACATTTCTACGCATATCTTTGTAGAAAGTGGGGTGTAGTGCCTGGAAACCCCTGTTTGTGAGCTATACCAAAAAATTTACAGAAAAATTGGAGGTTGAATGTACAAGGAGCTGATATCTAAAGACGGTTCCGGACTTTGAAATCTTTAGAGAAACTTTATGATAGGTCAAAATGAAAGAATAATCCCAGGAGAATAATAAAGGAGCTGGCATAGCAACATTTCTGTACAACTTGATACGCTATCATCTGGTGAAGAAAGTTAAACAGCAGCGTGAAAGTCAAGGGGGGGGGCTGCCCTATAGTATTTGAAGTTTTTCTTGATTTGATCTTTGATCTCTACCATATAAAAATCGGTCAGTAGTGGTTTATTGGTGCCTAATGATGGGTTAGTGACCCGGTCACGGGTGGGTTGGAATGGAAAGGTGGGGAGCAGCGGGCGGAGCTGGCGGAAAATTCAGCTAGAATCGAGTGGTTAAGCACTCGATGGGAAAAGCGGGGATTGATGGAGAAAAATGGAGTGTACTGAGCGGGACTTTGATAGGGTGGGGATAGGGATACTGTATAGAGTGGGCGCTAGAACGGAGGAAAACGGAGATTTTGGGGTGCTCGCCAAAAAAGGTGCAAAAATCGTGTTTTTGAAAATTGCGAAAGCTTTAGAACGTGTAATGTGGTAAAAATAGGTAAGATTGATAAATTGAAGATTCCGATAGGAAACGTTGAAAACTAGCAAAAATCGGTCAGAATCGAATTATCACTTGTCAGATCTGGAATTTCGTACATGCAAAAATCGAAATTCTGTAGGCACGGAATCTCGAAGACCGACAAAATTGATACGTTAAGGGTTACGAAATCTCGGAAATCCTAAAATTGAAATTTCGGAGTTTACATGATGTCGGTTTTGTTGATTTTAGGAATTTTGAAGATTTTGCAACCTTCAGTATATCGATTTTATTAATTTTCGAGTTCTGGCCACCTCTAAAATATCGATTTCATCGGTTTTGAAGAGTTGCGTTCATAGGTAGTGTAGGCGTACGGTGAGAAATCATTAGGTTTTGATCTG